AAACCGCAGGTGGCCTTCCTTGATCAAAAATGGCACCTTCCAACCCCAATGAAACTTGCAATGAGGAATCATCAAGCTGAATCTGTGGAGGCTCATCCTTGTGCAGCACAATAGGCATCAAACTTTGGCCAGCCAGTCCTTGAGAACATGTCGGCGTAAGCTATAATGCGCAGTAGTTTCATTGCGAAAACTTGGGAATATATCTTCATGTGGCATCCACTGCCCTTTGTTTAATGAATCGACTCAGTTCTAAGCTGAGGAACGGTGATACATATATGATATATGCACAATGGTACAGCACGACCAAATGAAAGCTTGCATTACTTGACTCGCAAAACTACTTTGCAAGCAGGAAACCTACTTTTCGGGACTCGATGCTCAAATCATCTCGACTCTATTTAGTTAAAATGTAGTTGCAGTTGATGACGGGCGTGCGTGCAAGAGGCAACTCTCAAAGCCTAAGCAATGCCTTTTCATGCTCTCAAGCTAGCCCTTTGCATCCACACTGGATGCGCTGGGCGCTGTACAAAGCTGTACAGAGCTGGGCATGGCGCCGTTTGGAGTCGATGCCTCGACCTGACCACGCGCAAGGGAAAGAGTGCAGGGGGTGCTGCAAACCTTGCACGTTTGCTTTGCCAAACGGCGTTTCTTCGATTGACTAAAGGCCTGTTGCGTCATGTTGCATCCTGTTATAAAGACATAGTTGTTTTCATGTGGCTCACACGGTTAGTCGATTGCGAAGCCAACACCAATCGAATCCTGAAACATTCACCGCGGCATGCCGTGTCCAAAGTATGAGGAAGTACCTCTCGCTTCATCGGCTGCACCGAGATTAGGAGCTCTCCTCTTTGGCCTGGTGACATGGCTGGAAGGTGGAGATCTCGGAGAGATGCTTGGTGAGTCAACTGCCAACAATGTTGGGTCGTGAATTGTTGTGATATCCGCAGCTCTTTAAAACAGTGCCGTGGTGAGTTCAGTATTGTGGCCGAAGCCGAGACGAGCAAAGACGGACTTGTTGCCCGTTCCGGGCCTCTTTTACGGACCAGAACTCAGGTTCATTGGCCTGGAGGCAAGAATTGATGCAACATGTCTGCGACCTTTCGATGTAATTGAAATGCGATTCAGTGCGCCAAGTATGTCAATAAAGTCAGCTTCAGATTTCCCGATGGCCAAACAAGTCTCCGTCTGTGAAAACGACCCAAAACTCTGAGCTACGGACCGATTTCAGAATCACTCTTCTCCCAGATGCAGACCTAAACAGCCTCATTGCGCACGATCCAAACAACGACGGCGCAGTTTCCTCCGGGAAACACGTGTCAGTCGCCTGTCATGCAGGGCTTGAGCATATCCACTGAGACCACTCGGATCAAAGTCCGTGATGCAAATCATCTCAGCCTCGCAAGGAACGACATGTCGCTAAGGTCAACACCGTCAACACCTGAGACCCTGGCTGACCCGTGAACAGAATGGAACACCAAGGGTACCCCAGCATGTTTTGGGGTACTCTCAATCTCTTCCTACCATCAGCCTTCTCCGCAAGAGCAAATGCTTCGGCTGTGCGCAGTGTGCTGAACACATGCCGGCAAGCTTCCTGCGACCATTGTTGGATGCAGCCAAGTATGATGAATGTACTACGTTGAGCTAGCACTTGCGGGGAAACTGCAGTATCCTACAGTACTCATGCACACTTGTGCGCTGTCCTCTGCTGCATCCGCCGAGGAGTGGGCATCCTCACAAAGTCTGAAACACTGTGGGAAGCTGGCCCAATGGCTAAGCTACAGTACTGTGCGAACCGAGTTGGCCGATGGTTCGCAAAGAACCCGTTTTTTCATGCATGCAGTGTGGAAACATGTGGAAACACTCTCCTCGCACAGGTCAAAGACCTTGAGGAAAATGTGACGCTGCTCGTTCCTCCCCCGATTGAAGTCAATCCTCAAAAAACCGGACTTCAAGACGGGTCCGCCGGTCAAACTCGGCAAAATATTCAGAAAGGTCGATCGAAACGAGTTCTATCATTTTCTATCTATCTATCTGTCTGTCTATCTATCTACTGTAGACTGTATCTATCTATCTATCTATCTATCTACTCTATCTACTCTATCTATCGATCTGTCTATCGATCTATCTACTGTATCTATCTATGTATCTACCTACCTATCTACCTGCCATCTACCTCTCTATCTACCTCTCTATCTACCTCTCTATCTACCTCTCTCTATCTACCTCTCTCTATCTACCTCTGTCTATCTCTCTATCTATCTTTCTATCTATCTATCTATCTACCTCTCTATCTCTCTCTCTCTATCTATCTATCTATCTATCTATCAGCCTTTCAGCATCGAATGGCCATGCCCGGCCACACTCCCTGGCTGCGGCCATGACCCGGTTGCACTTCCTTGGAGTCCGGGCTCCGCTCCTCCTGGTTTGGTTTCTTGTTGGACCTTTGGACTGGTGGCTGCCCTACGTTGCTGGCCGTTCCTTGCTGCCCGGTCCTAATTCCGGGTCCGTTCCTGCGCGCCTTGGCGAGTTCAACACACTTTGTTGGAGCGGACAAGGGAAAGGTTGGATAGTGGCCCAGCACTATCCTGAAAGGGGATCTCAAATTTTGATGTTCCACCAGAATCACCCTGAACTTCTGGGCGGAGGGCTTGTAGGATCCCACGGGATCACCAAACAAAAACGAAGCCTGAAGCTTGTGTACAAACGATTGGCACTACATGGCTTTGCTCTCAATGGGGGGCAAATTTTGATGAAGGCATCCAATTGGTCTCTGCAACCTATGAGCTTGAGAGATCCAACTCCATCTCGTACTGGCTAAGTCAAAGGATGGAAATGACGGTGATGACCTGGAACAACATGGTCCTTCCAGCTAAAAGGCACATACTGGAGACAAAGTCTTGCATCACATCCCTGATGGTGGTCTAAAATTCCAGGCTCGGCAGGATATTCACCATTATATGCATCTTCAATCGTGGTAGCTCTATGCCCACCAGGAAGTGTTGCAGTGTTGTCACTTCTTGGACATGATGGCTGGGGACAATGATCAGGACGTTCTCTGACCGGGAACTGGTAAAAGTGCAGGAGGTCGAGACAGTGTCCTTGACCTTGGCAACATACATGTTGCAGACGTCCTGGAAACAGGTCTGCAATTGACCAATGTATACTTTGCAGGAATATCACATCAGCTATCTGCCGTGTGAGACACTGCATGAGTTGAGTGAATGACAGACGAATGGTTGAGCGCAATCTCCAAATGGTTCTGCTCCACTACAGGCAGATGCAGGCCCCATCGAGCACGTTCTCTGCGCCTGGAAGACCTGCTGAGGAGGAGCGGAATGCCAGCATGGATCTTGAGGCTTCTCTGAACTCCACCAACTGAGTATTCTGAGTTGATTTGTAGCCCTCTCCCAAGGAGATAGAGCTCAATCACATGAGTCTTGATCAAATGCGAAATACGAAGTGACTGTGGGAGGTATCTACTTTGTCCGTGCCCTCTCCTGAGGAGATTGAGCTGGACCCTCCACCTTGATGTTTTTGTTCCCAACTTCGATAGATTACCTGCTGTGTTCTCCTGTGAATCGCAGGTACCACCAATCGTGTGCACGCAAGCTTTTGTCCTTCCATGATGCTGCCATAGCGGTTTTTGGCATCAGTGCGACTTTTTTGTTTATAGTTTGAGGCCGTTGGCCTTATGTAGAGCACCTCGGTGTGGCAAGATTGATCACAGTATCAACCAAGGTAACATACCTTGAGCCCCGCTTTCTTGAGACTACTCAAGAGCGCACGAAACTGAAAAACTGGAAAAACTATCTATCTATCTATCTATCCAAAAAAAAAATATCTATCTACCTATCTATCTATCTATCTACCTATCATTATCTATCTATCTATCTATCCATCCATCCATCGATCTATCTATCTATCTATCTATTTATCTACAGTATCTATGTTTGACGCAGGCCAAAGCCACTGCAGTCTTGAAAGAGCAGCCTTCCGCTCTCAACCACACGTTGGCTGACTGTCTAGCCGTGTGGCTCACCCGTTCTGAGGTGCAACTGCGACACTCCTTTCTTGCTGGTCTTGACGAAGATCTACGCAGCTTTCCAGTTGCTGCTGAAGGGGATGGCAGTCGGAGTGCGGACCGGACTTTGCTGAGTGAGTATGGGCTTATTGTTTGTTTTTCTTTAGGCTGAGTTCAGCAGTGGGGTAGGCGAAGAGTTACTCTTCCCGTGCTCTGCATGCTCATGACTCGCTAGAATAAGAAGGCCACCAAAGGAGCTCAGGCAAGAAGACTGTGTCACCCGACGTCAAATTCTGCGTGCAAGTGTTGTCGATTGAGCTAGCATGCGGTTGAACAAAACTTGAGGCCAGAGGGGGTGAACGAAAGCTAGCCGGGCGGGGAGGCTTGCTCATGCTAGGGTGTGGCTGCGCAAGCAACCAAGCAACAGACCACCAAGCAGCAGCTGCAACGGACCACCAAGCAGCTGCAGCAGCAGCAAACCACCAAGCAGCAGCAGCAGCAGCAAACCACCAAGCATCTGCAGTCTACCACCAAGCAGCTGCACCAAACCACAAAGGAGCAGCAGCAGCAGCAGACCACCCAGCGCCAGCAGCAGCAACAGAAGCAGCAGACCACCCAGCGCAGCAGCATACCACCCAGCAGAAGCGCAGCAGCAGCAGCAGACCACCCAGCAGCAGCAGCAGACCACCCAGCA